TGTTCTCTTCTCTGCCCAGAATACTCGCCTCCAGACAGCCACTTGGCTTGCTTCTTAGTCTTTCAGGAATTCACTCAATTGTCATTCTCTAAAACAATGTGTGGGTCAGCCCTCTTCAAAATTGCAGTGCTTTCTATGCCCTTCTATGTTGGGCTCCCTACATTCTTTCTTGCTTAATTTTTGATGGTATTTACCATCTGACACATCCGATATTTACTTACGCATCTGTTGACTGTAATTCTCCCTCCCTTGAATGTGAGCTCTGAGACATAATGTTTTATCGACCATAATGATGCAAAGTTCTAAAATTTATTTGCTACTTTATTCAGAGCCACATTATAGTGTTTGTCACCAAGGAGACTAATACAATGTTAATTAATGAATAGAAAGGGAATTAAGTCTTGGGGCGATCAAGCGAATTGAAAAACGTTGTCTAGGAGAATTGTTTTTAAGAAAAGCCATATAGTAAAATCACAGTAAAATTCATTCTGGGAAGCACATATGTACATGTTATTGGCACATCGATGAGATGGTTTTAGAAGTTATTTACCATTTTTAAGTTAACTGACTTCAGAGAAGTGTTTCAAAAGTATTCTCCAATAGATCAAGGACTGGCCCATGAATTCTCCCAAGGCAGGGGTTGGGACCACTGATGAGCCATTCACCAATGGTCTCTGGAGTAGCACCATTTTCCTGTATATTTTTGTGTAGGAAATTTGAAAGCATGCCCTGTGATGAAAGGATTGGTATGAAATTCCAGCCCAATTCCTCCAAACAGGAGTGCTTTGTGGTGGGACAAAAGTTGAAGGTTGGCCTGGGGATGTAGCTCAGTGGTGAAACAACTGCCCAGCCATGGGAGGCCTTGGGTTCAGTCTCCAGTAGTGGTGAATGGGGGAGAAGGAGGAGAGATTGCGAATCTGGAACCCACTCTGGTAGGAATGTTCCTGAACTAAATTTATAGGTAAAAAGAAAACCTCTAAACCTTGAAGATCTGCAGTTCCTTAAAAACAAAGGAGTGAGAAAATAGGCATAGCGTGGCTTTAGAGCAGGTGACTTAAGACTGCACACAAATAAAACAGTAATTTGGTCATATTCTTGCGATTAACGATAATAGTTTTTTAGTGACTATAAGCTTCTCAGGTGTGCCGTTTGTGCAGTGTGTCGTAACAAACTGTTTAGGTCTTAGACCATGAAGATTTGCCCCATAATTACCTTATTGAAAACCAGATTACCTATTGTTTGGATGTCAGCTACCCGAGCCTGTGCCAAAGAACACTCAGACAACTGGGAATTACCAACAATGCTGGCCCGAGGAAGGCGCCTGGGCTTTTCATGTCACGTGGGTAGCCAGGGTGGGCAAACTGGTTCAGGGGAATGAACTTCATTCCATGGTAATCTAAGCTTCCACAGAACCACCCCAAAGTTCACTCATGTGAAGGTTTTCTCTCATGCGCTGGTGCCAAGTTTTCAATCAAGAGAAACCAATAATCTGATGTTGTCCTCTGATAATCTCCACTTGGGAATTCAGGTTATTGACATCATTACATCATAAAATCTCTATCTATCTATCTATCTATCTATCTATCTATCTATCTATCTATTTATCTCTATCAATGGTCTTTCTGTCATCTGTCCACCTGACAGATATTCTATAGCTGCTAGCATGAGGGCTTGTTTTTCTTCTGTATTTTTAGGGAAGGGTCTACAGGGTGTTCAGGGTCTCACTACTAGATCAGACTCATAGTAATCTGCCTGTTTACAGCCTCCTAAGAACTGGGATAATAGGTGCACGCCACCACGCCCAGTCTCAATTGCTGTCTCAGTATGCCCCAGGGGCGGGGCTGGTACAGCAGTCTTGGGGATTGAACCGCTGGTCTCTGCACCTGCTTGCAGGTGCTTTAATCTATTGAACTATTTGGCCAGCCTGGGCCTGGTTCTATGATATCACATAGATACCAACATTCAAAGATAATCAATTTCTTTATATAAAAAGGTATAGTATTTATGCATACCTTATGCACCTCTGTATGCTTAATAATCGCAGGATTATATGTAACACTTGATGCAATGGAAATGCATGTAAACAATTATATGGTATTGTTTAAGGAATAGTTAGACAAAGTCCATTCCTGTTTAGCACAAAAGATATTTTTCCACTAAAATGACTGTTTAAGTTTAGTCCTAGGCTGTGAACTTGGGCAGCTAGAAGCCATGCTAGAGTGTGGTTAAGTCTCTAAGACATTTAACATTTTTAAATGATGTTATGTGCCAAATGTTTTGCAGTTTTTCACCTGTTAGGAACAAGGAAGATGTGAGTGGCGATTATGATGTGAAGAGATGCTAAATAAATAGTTGATGTTAACAACTAAAATACCTATATTTTTTCAAGTATTTTTGACCTGAATCTGCAGATGTGGAACCCACACAATGTGTCAGTCAACAGTAAATATTTTTGGTTGATCTAAAATTAGTCTTAGAGGTATTTCTTGGCTTCTATGGTGAAGGGTCATTAAGACTTGATAGCTGTTGGCATAACATCCATGTCACCCTGGAATATGTTGTTTAACTCATTTTCTTCTTCCTGAAAGTGAGGGTAAAATAGTGATTTCTTATATCGTAGTATCTTCATGACTAAATGAGAAAAATGCGTGCAGAAGTGTTTCACAAGGAACCGCTCATTAGGTGTGACTACCGGCTGATACTTATTGGGGGTTTATTGTTATCCGTATTCAAACCTGAAATCAAACTGTAGACAGACTGGCGTTTTAGCTGACAGAAACATTTCCGTAATCCCTGTAAAGTGTGAGAACAATGCATTTTTTTCTCAAAGACTGATAAACTTTAGTTACTGTTCTTATTCTATGCTCTGAAATTAGAGACCAGGATCCCCTCCTATGTACCTAATAATGTAAGTGTTTATTGAGCAATGGCTATGGCTAAGAGTGAGGAAAGTAGAGAAACTGAAAATCTGAAAATTTCAAAGTATTTGAGGGGGTAGACTTATACTTACCTGAGCTATAAGATCTGATTTTTTTGTGGGAAATGTGATTTAGTGTTTAAATTCAAGCTCACGCCTGCCACTTACCATGTGACTTCTTGAACAACCAGGGAACATTTGCCCTAAGGCTTCTTATCTGTGGAATGACTATTAGCAACAACAGCCACTGCCACAACATATGTTTGCAGTAGGAATAAATTGGGGCAGTGTGCATAAATCTCTTTATCAGTCTCTTTATTAAGGTCCATATAATTCTACTTACTTTTATCAGGAGTCATAAATTAGAATCTTGTGTAATAATACTTCATTAGATATATAATAACAAGAAATGACCAGAGGGAGGAGAAATAGGAAATCACTATGCCTAGAATCCTAGAAAAAAATTTAGAGGAAAAGCCCCAAAATCTAAGCCTCAAAGGAAGGGTATGGGTTTTGTTTTATTTTGTTTGTCTAAATGCTTTTATTTGAAACAAGTAGTTGCAGTAAGTGAGATCTTACTTGCCCCCCTTCACAGAAAAACAGGATAACAGACTTCATTTGATAGTATAGCTCCAATAATGTGAGCATCCTCCTACTCATTGTGGTTGGG